GGGGGGGGGGGGGGGGAGGGGAGAGCAGCAGCCAGTGCATTTAAAAGGCGGAGACTCAGCAGGGACAGTAAGCACCCCACCCCTCATTTTTGACTACTCGATTAGCTGATTAACTGAAATTTAGCATCCTTAATCAATATCCCAATTATGTGTATTATCTCACCAAGCCTCTGTGATGCCAACTGTCTTAGTTGTGTTTATTTACTAGCATTGTTAATTCTTCCTGCTTATTCCACATACGATTCGCATTTACAGGCAGTCCCCGGATTACATGGATCCGACTTACATCAGATCCCTACTCACAAACGGGGTGAGGCAACCCCGCACTAGCTGCTTCCCCCCAGACAACCAGGGATCCACGGAGCTAGCGCCCCCCCCCCCCCCAGCAGACCAGGGAGACGCGGAGCGGCTTTTCTCAGCAGACACCTCAGCTTGAGAATAAAGGACTGAAGGAAGTGAGGTGTGGGAGAATAAAACTGAGCGCTGGAGAAATGTTTGGCTAGAGTTTCCCCTACGATATGTACCAGTTCCGACTTACATACAAATTCAACTTAAGAACAAACCTACAGTCCCTATCTTGTACGTAACCCGGGGACTGCCTGTATATCCAAATACTTAAGATCCTGATTTTCCTCCAGTTCTGTCTTGTCTCTCATTTATCCCTGCTATAAACAGCCCATGCTCTCCCCAAATTCTGATCCTGATAGTCCTAGTCGCTTTTTTCTACAGAAGCGGTTCCTTTGCCCTTCATTACATTTGCTGCCCTTCCCAAGAAGTGAAAGACTGCATTCTGCACCAGCCAGTGCATCACTTCCAGGGGCAGCCCCACAGACTGCACTGCCATTGTGGGATCTGGAGGTGACAACACCTGGATCATCATAGAGATCTGCTCTCAGAAAGGAAAGCTTGCTGCTGTGGAGCCAGCTGGGTGGTAAAAGCAGAGTGGCTCAATGTGAGTGTCTCAAATCACCCTAAGTTGTGAGCATCAGTAACTGTTAGTGTCTGTACCTCACCAGCCCAAGAGGCTGCAGCTACCTCCACCATCTCTTCTGGTTGCTTCCTGCAACTCACCGGCATCACCTCCGACTGCTCCAGGACACACTTCAATGCCAACTACTGCACACCCTTCGCTTTGGCCTTAACAAATGCAGCCTTGTCTTGCTCAGATCCATTCAGTATGCTGCTGCAAAAGCACCCAGTCCTAGCCCAGAGCAATCAGACCCAATTACCCCTCTCCTCCTATTCCTCCACTGCCCCTTCTTTATTGTATCAAACAAACTAATGGTCTTCACTCCCAAGGCCTCCATCCTCTAGCCTGTCCTCCCTCATTCTCTAACGAAAGGCTGATTCCTGCCTCTGACTGGCCCATGGTGCCAGCCTCCACTGCTCACTTGGTAGGTTTTCAAGCTTTCTGCCCTGCCACCCACATGCTTGGGAGGAGCTCCCTGCAAACATCTACAAAGCTGCCTCGCTCGCCTCCAACACCTTCAGCTGTCATGAACCTGCAAACACCTGACAAGCACTAGGTTGCGGGTGTGCAGTGACCTCTACCTCTCATGCTGCCCAGTGCTCTCTGTGCTCCCTTGCACCCCTCTTGTCCTTATTGCCACTTAAGGATCTGGAGGCAGGAATCATCTTTTAGATTCACCTATGTGAAGCACCTAACACAGGGGGTTCTGACCCATGACAGAGGCCTGTAGCTGCTATGGTAACCCAGAGACCAATACTACTAACAGTGTGAATGCAAAGGCAATACACAGGGGAGCTGAGAACTCCAGCGTGAGCATTCTGCTGGACGCGGCATCAGGAGACAGGGAAGGGCTTGCAGTTACCATAGGGACTCCATGTTGACCTTGGACCAAGCAGACAGCACGTGACTTTGAACATGTGTGTCCAGCACTCAAACATCACTTGAAGTAACTGCACTTCCAAAAAGTCCTTGGCCACCTGCCAGCCAGAGGATAACAACCCTCTCCTTCCTGTCAGGGCTGTTGTCCTAAATTCATTCATGTCTGTGAACTGCTCAGATACCATCAGGGTGGGGCTGCAAATAAATAAATGCTCTTGTCTGCAGGCTCGTGAGTGTCCCTGTATCAGTTACAATGCAAGCAGAGATGTGAGACCCACTTTCTGCACCGAGATGGAGTCCACAGCCACAGAAAAGGGACATTCAGATTGTAAAACGACTCTGGATAAAATCCATCTGCCTCCACATGTATAGAAAGCGTAGTTCTGTGGAACCCGTGACCCACTTCTCTAGTACTGGCTTAGCTGGGGGTGCGGTGGGGGACTCCTTTAATACAGCAAGCCTGAGTGTAACCCCTCCTCCCATTACAAATTAAAAGCACCTTAAAATATTTAATACTATTACACAAATGCTGGCGCAAAGTGGGGTTTAAGGTTGGAGGCAAACAGCTCGGACCCCCCATGTAACAATCCAGGAGGGTCACTATCCCCACTTTGAGAACCCTTGGGTTAGCTGGAACCTAACAGAGCTTTTCCATCTCTTGGTCTCTATGGACACAGGCTTCAGTCTGATGTGTGAAGTGGGGCATGGGCAGCAGCATCAAGGCAAAGACATTCAGCTACAGTCTAGAAACTAAAGCAGGACCAAGGCCTACCAACATACAGAGCCACCCAAAGCAGCTCTTCTCAGAATAGATGGCAACCGTCAAGTCATCCCCTCACTGCAGAACTGGAACTGCACCTCCTCTAGGACCTGCTCTACGCATGCCTGCACGCATCTCCACACAGTGGCCTCAAACCACTCCCTGCCTGGCTGCGCAGCTCAGCATTAGTTCTGAAATGCTTCCTGCGGAGCCCTCAAGCCCGACTCCCACCAAACAGAGGGAGGTGCCAACCCAATGCCATTCCTCCCATGCAGCTGTCAGCAGCCTCTGTCTGCCCCAGAGACCAGAGCTTCTGCAGCCAGAGGAGTTTGCCCCAGAGGGAAAGGCACGGGAGCAGCCCAGAGCAGTCCCATTACAGAAGCTGCCCCCATACCGGTCCCGGAAAGAGCGAGAGCAGCAGTTACCTCCATGTCCATCGTAGACTGAGAACATGGCCGTCTCGCTGTCCAGATCAGGAATACAATTGTGTGCGTCCTGCCAAAGAAAGCACTGTGTCAGAAGACTTGGGTTTGGACTGGCACCCACCAGATGACCTGGCATGCATGGAGCTCAGAAGCAGGGCAGAATGGCAATGACAGACACATTCACGTTTCACACATGGATCTCACGGAATCAGAGGCAGGCAGGAGCAGTAAGCAGCAGCAATGCACATTGGGAGCAGACTCCCAACTCTCCATACAATATGATGGGGGCTAATTTAGCTACAACAACTCAAGAGAGAGATCTTGGAGTCATCGTGGATAATTCTCTGAAGACGTTCACGGAGTGTGCAGCGGCAGTCAAAAAAGCACAGGATGTTAGGGATCATTAGAAAAGGGATAGAGAATAAAACAGAAAGCATCTTATTGCCTCCAAATAAATCCATAGTATGCCCACGTCTTGACTACTGCATGAAGATTAGGAATGTTAATGGGTAATGAGTTAAGAGTACCCATGAGCAGCTCCCTGCCCATGCTCCAACCCTGCCAGGATCCTCACGTGGGGCTGCTAGCTCCCAGCCCCCATGAAGGGAAGGGGGATGGGAGTCATGGTGGCAGCCACCATGGGAAAGGGGGGGGACCCTGCCATTCTAACCTGACAACAGAAGGTAGGGACACTGCTCCAGCAGTCTCCCCAACTCCCTTTAATCAGTTAAATGTAGTGTCAGCACTACATTTAATCAATTAAACTTGATTTTACATCCTTAGTACAGATGTGGTTGCCTCATCTCAAAAAAGATATTTTGACATTGGAAAAGGTTCAGTAAAGGGCAACAAAAATGATTAGGGGTATGGAACAATTGCAAATATGAGGAGAGAGTAACAAAACTGGGACTTTTCAGCATGGAAGAGAGATGACTAAGGGGAGATATGATAGAGGGCTGTAAAATTATGACTGGTGTAGAGAAAGCAAATGAAGAATGATTTACTCTCTCATATAAACACAAGAACTAGGTTCACCAAATGAAGTGAATAAGTTGCAGATTTAAAACAAGCAAAAGGAAGTGTTTCTTCACACGATGCACAGTCAACCTGTGGAACTCCTTGCCAGAGGAAGTTGTGAAGCCAAAGACTGTAACAGGATTCAAAAGAGAGCTAGATAGATTCATGGAGGTTAGGTCCATCAATGGCTGTTAGCCAGGATGGGCAGGAATATTGTCTCTAGTCTCTGTTTGACAGAAGCTGGGAACAGGCAATAAGGGAATGATCACTTGATTCCCTGTTCTGTTCAATCCTTCTGGGACACGTGACATTTGGGGGGGATGGGGCTGTTTGAGTCAATCTCATGCTCAGGGCTCAACAAATTATGGAAAACTCTACTCACCAGACAAAAAAGGGACTCGCCACCCTCCCCCCCAAGTGTTTTTTAATGGCATAAATTCCTAATAAAAAAAATAACAGTAATTACTAATAAGTTATAAGTTATTAATAAATATCTTATAAACCTCTACCTTTTCCCTCTGCTGCCATAAGAACAGAAGAACGGCCGTACTGGGTCAGACCAAAGGTCCATCTAGCCCAGTATCCTGTCTACCAACAGGTGCCCCAGAGAGGGTGGTCCGAAGACAATGATCAAGCGATTTGTCTCCTGCCATCCCTCTCCAGTCTCTGACAAACAGAGGCCAAGGACACCATTTTATCCCCTGGCTAATAGCCTTTTATGGACCTAACCTCCAGGAAATTATCTAGCTTCTCTTTAAACTCTATTATAGTCCTAGCCTTCACAGCTTCCTCTGGCAACGAGTTCCACAGGTTGACTACACCACGCTGTGTGAAGAAGAACTTCCTTTTATTAGTTTTAAACCTGCTACCCATTAATTTCATTTGGTGTCCTCTAGTTCTTCTATTATGGGAACTAATAAATAACTTTTCTTTATCAGCCCTCTCCACACCACTCATGATTTTATAGACCTCTATCATATCCCCCCTCAGTCTCCTCTTTTCTAAACTGAAAAGTCCCAGTCTCTTTAGCCTCTCCTCATATGGGACCCGTTCCAAACCCCTAATCATTTTAGTTGCCCTTTTCTGAACCCTTTCCAAGGCCAAAATATCTTTTTTGAGGTGAGGCGACCACATCTGTACACAGTATTCAAGATGTGGGCGTACCATAGTTTTATACAGGGGCAGTAAGATATTCTGGGTCTTATTTTCTATCCCTTTCTTAGAAATTCCTGAAGCAAAATGCAGGACAATGTAGCACTTTAAAGACTAACCATCTTGTTAGTCTTTAAAGTGCTACATTGTCCTGCATTTTGCTTCAGCTACCCCAGACTAACACGGCTACATTTCTATCACTATTAATAATTCCTAGCATCCTATTTGCCTTTTTGACCGCCGCTGCACACTGCATGGAAGTTTTCAGAGAATTGTCCACAATAACTCCAAGATCTCTTTCCTGATTTGTCGTAGCCAAATTAGCCCCCATCATACTGTACGTATAGTTGGGGTTATTTTTCCCGATGTGCATTACTTTACACTTATCCACATTAAATTTCATTTGCCATTTTGTTGCCCAATCACTCAGTTTGGTGAGATCTTCTTGGAGTCCCTCACAGTCTGCTTCTGTCTTGACTATCCTAAACAGTTTGGTATCATCTGCAAACTTTACTACCTCACTGCTTACCCCTTTCTCCAGATCATTTATGAATAAGTTGAAAAGGATTGGTCCCAGGACTGACCCTTGGGGGACACCACTAGTTACCCCTCTCCAATCTGAAAATTTACCATTTATTCCTACCCTTTGTTTCCTGTCTTTTAACCAGTTCTCAATCCAAGAAAGGACCTTCCCTCTTATCCCATGGCCATGTAATTTACACAAGAGCCTTTGGTGAGGGACCTTGTCAAAGGCTTTCTGAAAATCCAAGTATACTATATCTACTGGATCCCCCTTGTCCGCATGTTTGTTAACCCCTTCAAAGAACTCTAATAGATTAGTAAGACAGGATTTCCCTTTACAGAAACCATGTTGACTTTTGTCCAACAAATTATGTTCTTCTACATGCTTCACAATTTTATTCTTTACTATTGTTTCAACTAATAGCTGTGTTTAGTGAAAATTCTACGAGTTACAGGAGGAGGTATTCAAACTGAGGATCTTATTTGTAAGCAGAAGATACACAAAATGAGTCTTAAAATTGAATTAAAATATAGGTCCATAACGTCATTGACTCTGCCCTCATTTTCTCCCACTAAATTCAGCAAGTTTACAGACACTAA